TTTTATTTCGTTATCCCCTCCCAATGGAGTTTGTGGGAGATGGAAATGATCCCCTCGCAACAGAGTTATCCTCTGCGTAAATTGGAAGGAATGTAATTTGCTTCAGAATCAATGTCGATTGCTGTCTTGATTTATAGGTATGCTTTAAGGGAAAGGATACTCCGCATTGCAGTTCCCTGGTGTTTCTTCAGTTGGTTGAGACTGTTTTTTTTTTTAATAGATAACAGTGGAAGCCTATCAAGCTGGTAATATGTGAGTAAATAGTAAATAATAGTAAGTAAATTACCTGTCTGTGCTCATGGTGGCAATGTATTCATTTAGTGGATCCATGGCTACTCCCTGAACAAAACTTCTGTGCTCATTAAACATGGCAATTTTTTGTTCTACAAATATAAAGCAGGTATTGTCAAAATAATTTCTTAATGAAACATCACTTGTATTCACATGATCACTGTATCATTCATACCTTCAATGAAAGATTGGGCCACAATTAAAATATTGTTGATTTGTCGTTGCCGACTCAGTCTTAATACGTTTGGGTCGGTAGGTAGGGGAAATTTTTTTTTTTCAATTTCAGAAATGTTGTTAGTTTCCGGGTGTCATGGGTTTCCGATTGTTTAACAACAACTGCAGTCCGAATTAATTTCCGGTTGTTATTTGTTTTCAAACCCTATTAGCTTTAAACCATTAATAAATATGGTATAAAAAATCGCCCAATATTAAATTATTAGAAAGTTGGTTTCATATGCATGAATCCAAGCATAGCTGCTAGGTTAATCTAGCAAATCGGACAGGACGTTGTACCTTGAAATTTCTAATTCAAACTGGTATAAATGATTCGTCAGTATATTTTTGCCATTACACACATTACCGTGGAGAGTCATGCCATCAACTCCTGTTATAAAGAGTTTACCGCTTTCGACAACCATGCTTGGATTTGTGATATGCATTTTCAACATCACATAGACACCTCTGAATGAAAATTGTTCAATCGACAGGGATTAATCTAGGGCATATTTAATACCGATATTTGGTGTTTTTCCCCTAGAGAAAATTTCCCCTGAAATCTAATTTTCCCCTTTTGATTAGTAAAATATTCCCCTTTAATACAATAATAAAAGCCTGAAATATTTATTTTCTTTCATAAAATCTGAAAATTTAAAGTAAATATTTTCAGAATATGAGAAATATGGTTTTACTTTGCTACTTAATATGCTTTAAACATGTTTAAATGGTCATAAAAATGCTGAAATTGATTTTGCTCCCAATCAGGGCTTGCCCTGCACTCGCTTGAGTAGTTCCCAGACCCTGGCTGATATTCCCAATTTCTCAAGAAAGGGTACTTTCCCCAAAAACCTAGATTAATCCCTGATCAATCAAGCGTTTACATGATTCTTTCCCAGTTTGTATATTACTCAAATGAACAGACACCTAAGTCCGGATATACAGAATGAAAAAAGTTACGATCCGTAGCAGCTGAAAAAAATTCTTCTGACCGCACCGATTTACCTGTGTTGGCCGGCAACACCAAACAAAGCTAATTTTATTTTTGGCCTTGTGTTCAACAGAATTCCTCATCAGTGATATTCTATTCAACTTCATCTAACTTGCAGACATTACAAACCACAAGCTTTTCAGACTTCCAATGAACAAGAGGTTTGCTACGCTTACATGTATGTTTGCGAGAATATTTTGTTTTAGTTTATGCATTTTTTTGTCTTGAGTGAGTACACTTGTCATACCTTTGACAACATCCCATAAAATGGCTGTGTTATCCATAGATCCTGATACTATTCTCTTGCTGTCTGAAGACCAACTCAAGTCATATACCTCCTCTAAGTGGCCTCTGTCAAAGATGAAATAACAAATAAACTGCTGTCAAAACATTGTAGTTCAATGATTATACATACTAAATACGATGATATTTAAAGGAAACGTATGGTTTGCAAAAATATTTTCAAATTTCAAAGGTTGAATGGTCTGATAAATATTCCACCGGGTATTTTTATCTGATAATAGTTCGTTATGTAGAAAACACTTTGTAATTATAGATATATTAAAGCTACTGGGGGCCGCCATTTTGAAAGATAAAGTTACCGTTCTTTACTATATTTCCCACAATTCCATCTGTTTATGACGTATGACAGGCAATTCCGCCTCTGAAGCTCAAAGTGACAGGAAACAGGTCATGTCTGAATGCAAAGGTTATCAATATGAGCCGGAGTTTAATGAAGAAGAATTATTGGCAGCTTCAGCTGAAAGCTCTGATGATTTGGGAGTAAATGAAATAAATGAAAGAGGTGATAATACCAATTGGTGCACGTGTGGACATTGTGACATTCTTCCAAGTCAAAGAGAATGTGTATGCTGTAAGGAATTTGAGCATTATGCTGAAAATTATATTTCATCGCTATGTCCATGTATTTCACAGCATAGTGACTTTGACATGGTGTGTCTAAATAGAGTAGTTCTTGAAACGGCATATGTTGCATTTTTACGATATAAAAGGAAAAGTGGACAGGCTCCCCAAGTTCTGACAAACAGGTGAGTAGTTGTAAATAAATTATGGAAGTCATTTTAAAAAGAAATATTTATTTCTTTGTAGTAAAAAATTTAGTGAAATACAATAAGAAATTTAAAAATAAGTATCACATATTTGAGAATATACATTAATTACTAAACAATTAATAAATATGAGTTTTATCATCTGAAATTAAATTGCATAAAAGTTAATGCATGGATCAATATCCAGTCAATAGTTACTGATTTTTCTTTTTAATTGTAGGCAATCAAGGCTCATGGCATATAGGCAATTTATTTGTTTTGTGAGGAGGGGACAGCCATTAGGGAAAAAGAATCGAGTGGTGTTACCTGCTTGTGTTGTGATTAAAATCAGAAAAGCATTCCCAGATGATGAGTATGAGGGTTTCCATAGCGAGTCATCAAGTTCGGATTCAGACTAAATAAAACTTTATCACCTTGACATTTATGTTCTTTTTCATTCTTCACTGAGAACTAGTGTAACACGGGCGTCCAATTAATTTAATTTGTAGCGAGAAAAATGAGATTCTATCAAATCCGACTTATCAGGAGCTGGAATTTTTGCGATGTTCTTTGGTAAATCCTTGGCCTTTCTTTGATGGGGTGTTGTGAATATATTTTCAGATATTTTATTCTCCAAAGTAATTTCAAGCAATTCCTTTCGAAAGGAATAATTTTTTTCCTCATATCGACTCTTCACAGTCCACCTTCCTGTAGCTTTAGAACACTGAGGGGCAAATACTTCCTGGCCATATTTGTCAATTTTTACACCCCTATTCAAATTAAAGTTATGATCAAGAACAGCCAATTGGGTTCTTGCAACCATTTGGGGGTACTGAAATTCTTGTCGTTTTGGAACATATTTCAGCATCATAGAATGGTACACCTCAATTTCTCCTGTGTGACAAAAATGGTTGAGTTGTTTTAAATCCTTTTGTATTCGTTTGTCCATTATAATTTTTTCCAGTGCTTTATATGCCTTGTTTTTCTTCTGAAGCCATTTTTTCCTTCGAGACTGCTCTAAAGAAAGCGGAGGATGACCACATTCAGTGTATTTTTCCCCATTGAAGGAGTGGACATTCTGAATATGGTGTAAAATTGATGTCCACATCTCAATCAGTAGCTCTGGATCTCCTCTACATTCTGCAGCACAGTACCAAACATGATTTATTATGCTCCTTACCCATGGCATCAAATCTTCATTTTCTTTTTTCTTTGCTATAGCCACCAATTTTTTACGAATGCTATTTGCCATATGCCAGACATCAAATTGATGGGAAACGTGCGGCAATTGATCCTTTACATATTTTCTTATTTGTACATGCCTGTCACTGCAGAAAATTTTGATATTGATGTTATTATCAATAAGAGAATTGAAAGAGCGTTTGAATCCCTCAAGCTCCATACGGGATGATGAACCAGATTCTGTAACTTGAATGACCTTGAAATCTAGTATTGCAGAGCTTACAGCTTCCATAATAGTGTATGTGCAGTATTTTGCACAAAACCCAGGACTATCACATCGTCCATCTCCAATAACTGTCAATGGTTTGTTTTTAAGACGTTCGTGTAAAACAGTTCTTTGCTCATTGTAAAAAATATCTATTGCAGGCAAAACAAATTTGTTTCCAATATCATAAAATACAGATTTGGAAATGAAATTTAATCCTAATGTACTTGCAAAGCTTGATAAAGAAGAGAATGTATTTCCTGAGGCATATGTTGCTGCTGTCAAAAGGATATTTCCTACAGGTTGCTTTCCAATATATGGTTGAGATTTCCAGGAATAGGAGTGATTATTTAAACATGTAAAACTGACCTTCAATGCACTTCCATCGACGGTTTTCCTTACATCATCAAAATCAAATGGTGAATGACAGATCTGACATACAATCATTTTGAAAAGAACATCCAGACAGCTTGAAAAAACCATAAACTTTGATTCATTGACTGTATCCTTTGGTAAATTATTTTCTGCACCCATGGGAATAGAAAAACTTGCACTTGGTGATGAAACTGGTGATTCAAATGAATTTTCAGAAAAATGAAAAGAATCATCTATCTCATGTACTGGGGACACATTCTCTAGTGAATCATGAAAGGAATCTGAGACAGGCTTTTTCATGGGAGTGGATGTAAGAGGTGGGTCCGGTTCACTTGGCACTTTAGAATAAACATGATCTGATATTGAAATCATCGGATTGCTCGTTAGGATGCATGTTGGACAATGACTGGGCATTTCTATTTGTATATTGCATGAAGTTGATTTATCTTCTGATTGGATAGAAATAGTTGAAGTTTCCTTATTTTTCATTTCTTCATTGAGCTAAATATAAAGAAAATTGATTATTGATTCATCATGCTCATATTGTACTAAATTTACAATTTCCATGAAGGGTCATGTATTACACTCAGTATTCACCTTTATCTTTTTTGAAGATTTTACTTTTCCTGCTGATCTTCTCTTTCTTTGATTTATTGGCACATCTGTGAAGAAAGAATGTTGCAATGTGAAACTTTATACAGAACAAATCAGTTGATATAGCACTACACTCCTGTAATTGCCGCGTAAATGTCAAGCCTTGAAAGATTAACAGCACAGAGGGAATTAAAGTGACCTTGATTGTAAAACTTTACCAGATAATATTAGAGAAGGTATCAAATAACCTGTTTTATTCGCTGTTGATGGACCAGGTTGGTCATCAGGCTTTGCATTTGTGTCTTTATTCGTTTTCACAAGACTTCTGATTAGCTGTAAAATGAAAAGAAATTGTAATGAATTTTAATTATAAATCTACTCACAATCGATGTTATACATGCAAATGTATATTAATTTTAGCATGTAGTTTGCTGTTATATTTATTTGTTCAAGTATGAGGATAATGTTAATAGCTTATATAATTACCTCTTGTTTGTCCCTTTTCTCAGATCTTTTTAAGCTTGTTTCTCTTATTTTCTCAGGCTTGCTGTCATCAAACACTGTAGGTACTGCATCCTCTTTTAATTGCTTTCTCTTTGGCGTGTATCCCATTATCTTAGCCATTAAAAATTATAGTAATTTCACTCAAAAAAAAAATTAAGCGGTGTTTCCTTTTTATTCTTAGCATGCAGTGAATACAATATTCAAAGGGGGTTTATTTTTTTTTTAAATAATGATAATGCATGGGTATAATATATTTCAGATTTGTATAGAAATCCTTGTTAATTATACAGATCAAAGTATTAAATCTAAAACCTCAAACAACTAAAAAAATATGTACCTACCATCATATCCTCTTTGAAACAATCTTCTTTAAAATGCCGTTCACATACAATTTTATCATTTGAATAAACAAAAGTTTTTGGATTTAATTTTGCATTCCCAAGGTTATGAATCCATTTTGCACAAAGTTCATAATTCTTTTTTGGGTCAGGAATGCTAAAGGTAGATATTCCTTTTCCTCTGACCACAGTGCAAAATTTTGCTTGGCACTCCGGCATTTTTGGTTACTGGAATGTGAAACACTGCGACTCTGTAACCCATTTAGTGCGACAGGCACAGCAGCTGTGATATGAATAGACGTTAGTACGTCATCAGCCGCCATGATAAGGGATTCTCCCAGTCAGCTTAGTTTTCAGTGTAAAAGACCGATTATTTCTTGTTATCAGCAGTAATTCATTTTAATTTGTGAAGTTATGTTATCTACATGGTACCAGGTTTCATATGTTAAAATTAAATTTTTGACCATACGTTTCCTTTAAGAGCAGTACCTGAAAACTTTACAGGTGACCCAAGTTTCTTTGTTGTCTTCATCGTCCTCTTGGAAGAGATTTCCGGGGTTTGCTGTAGAATCACTCAACTTCCATAATATCACAACTTCATCTGAAGATGAAAGATGCCATGTTAAATTGGTTCACTTTTCTGAATATCTCTTTAAAGTTTACATTTTTTCAATAAGAAATTATTTATCTTTTACATTTTTCAAATGGGCGAAAGATCAACTTGGTCAAAATGAGATAAATTTTGGGTTATTTATATCAATGATCTTCCATTAACACATACATGTATAATATTATATGTAAATTTATCTAAATCATAAAACATTCTTTCAAATACATTACCATCTCCAGCTGTTGCCAAATATTCTCCTATAGAAAAGAAAATACAATTAAATAAAATCTAAGACATCCTTAGAAATTATTCACTGATTATTTATCATATTCATATGAGGATTTTCTTTTATTTCTTTCAAAGATGAAAAATATATAAAAAAAAAATTTGAATAAGGGATTAGAACAAACCATCTGGAGAAAACCGGCAGACATTTACAGACTTTGAATGTCTCTTCAAGTTGGATAGAAATTCCACACTGCATTTTCCCTCTGTATCAACAGATACTTTCCATATCTGAAAAGAAAAATTCTTTCAGCATACATCCATAATTTAAAGATACAAAATAGATTGCAAATAACAGTCATTGATTTTTTTTTTTTTATAATTAAGACAACATTAGTGATTTTGCTGGGGATATGAATAAAAATGGCTTCATTACCCTGGCATATTTGTCAACACCAGCTGTGACGATTCTCTGGATGTTGTGTTTTCCGGGTTGGAAATCGGCACTGTATACAGGATCACGTTCATGCCAGGATATCTCGGGGGTTGTAACCTTCATTTCTATCAAATATACAAAAACCATACTGCATTTATGTTCAACATCTCCCACTGGATGGACGTAGGTCACTTGTTTCAAATCCCTCCTCTCCTTTATTTAAATGTTGTTTATTGTAAGGTTGAATTAACTTGTGAACGTTTAACATTATGAATTATTTGATGATATGAACCAGGGTTGTCCCCGAGACCTGGGGGCCAGGGAATTTCCAGACCATTATGGCATACATATTAAAATGTAATTTTTCATTATTTTGGTATTCCTTCTAAACTCCCCATTAGGAAAGGAACCCTGGATATCCTTCTACTTTTTAAATGTGAATCTCTTTGTCTCTGCTATAACAAAGATAACGCATTTGGTTGAAAACTATTGGAAAACCAATAACATGTTTATTTATTGTGCACAAACCACCTGCATATTCTTAGAGACTTTTCAGATCTTCATTTATTTTTAAGGGTACAGACTTAAAGTAATGCTAGCTGTATGATCTTAACCATTCAATCAAGATTTTATTTAATACTGTTTAAAAGCTAAACAATTCTAACAGCCAGTTAATAGCTTCCTGGTTTTGAAGAAAAAGAGCCTAGAAATCTTGTCTTGTCAATATTCCATTCTTTTTTGTAGACTACCACTAATTCACAGATCTGCTGTTACATACATTTCCTGGCAATGCATTGATCATAATCCAATACATATGCAGAGTTTGAAATAACCGTGCGTCCCACCACCTGAGATGCACAAATTTTGTCAGGGGCGAACAGATTAGCACATATATATATTGATGCTGGCTGGACGAGTGAATTTTTCTCTTAAATTTAAATTCATATATTGATGAAATGTAATAGGAAGTTTAATTTAGCAAGAGCTGTGCTTATTGAAAAGGCTAGAAAAGCATGTTTTAAAATGAAAAGAATTATTGGATTTGATAACCCATGTAAACTTTTAGAAAAACTCTTTATGCTATTGTACTTCCAGTTCTTCTCTATTGTAGTGAAATATGGGGAGTGGATCTCTCATCCAAAGATATTTCAAATATTGAAAATTTTCACCTAAAATTTATTAAAGACATCCTTGGAGTGCACTGCAAAACATCCAATGCTGGTTGTTTAGCGAAACTTAAAAGACTACCACTTTGGTCCAAAATTTCCCTCTCTAGTATCAAATATTGGAATCACCTGAAAACTTCTGATTCTTTGGCCTTTAAACTTTACCAATCCACAAGTAACTGTAATTCTTGACTAAGAAATTATTTTCTATTCTAGATAATCTTGGATTCTCAAACATTACAAAATATACAGGTTCCATCCAACACCTTTTACCAAACATTAAACAAAGAATCATTGATCAGTGCACTCAGGAGCAAACGTCAAAAATCTTTGGTTCAGAAAAACTTGATTTCTTCAAGAAAGTATACTCAGGAAAAAGAAGTCCTTATGTTGATTTACTCAAAAAAAGATCTGAGAGATCCTCTCTTAGTAGAATTAGACTAAGCGCACATAAACTTGCAATAGAAAGTGGTAGATATATTTCCACATCAAGAAATGAAAGATATTGTAATGTTTGTAATACTGGTGTGATTGAGGATGAAATACATTTTCTTTTTCAATGTAATTCTTACTCTAAGCTAAGAAACACATTATAACATAACAAAAAAAAATAATAATTTTAGCAATGAGAAATATATGTTACAATTATATGTAAACAGTAATATACAAAAAGTCTTGAAAGTTACTGTTAAATTTATCAGAGACTGTTTTGAACTTAGAAGTCAATTACTTGACAATTTTTGAAAAATATGTAAACATTTAATGATGTTCAGTGGGCCTTTGCCAATTATTGTAATTGTGTTTGTGTCAATAAAGTATTTGTATTTGTATATTTGATAAAACTCTCTCACATCAGCTATTACTGGTTGCAAAGTATAACAGGTCCAGTCCAAAGACTATTTCTACCTACGTAGCTATTAATAGCTACCTAGGTATTTAAAGCTACCCAAAGTAGCTATTTTTACCTACTTTTTATAATTTCTGCATTTTGCGGTACAAAGACCAAACGGCGCAACATGCTGAATACCATATCGTTTGATACAGTCAAACTAATGATGAATACGACAAAATTTAGGCCAAACAATGATTACTTCCTGAATCGGCAATTTTACATTAGTTTCTATGCAAAATTGATAAGATACGAAGTAATCATTTTTTGGCCAAATTTTTGTCATATTCATCATCAGTGTGACTTTATTAAAAAATGTTGTGCTCTCCATGTTGCGCCGTTCCTGCATTTGGCCACAAAATGCGAGTAAAGCAGAAAGTAGGTAAAAATAGCTACTTTGGGTAGCTTTAAATACCTAGGTAGCTATTAATAGCTACGTAGGTAGAAATAGTCTTGGACTGGACCTGTATAACAAACAAATGGGTAGAATTCATCAGCTTACAAGTCCGGGATCAAATATATAATGAGCTGGCCCCATTCACAATATTGCTAAAAGAAACTTATAAAAAAACAATTATTTTTTCAGGCTCGTACTGTATATCTAGCTAATTTTACAGCGAGTTTCAAACACTGACATATGATAAACATTCATGGTCATTGTCATTAATGAAAATCTGCCCAACCATCATACTTCTGAGCTAAAGCACATAGGTTGGCAGATATTTAAAAGTAGAAAAACACGTTCGCCATAAAGAGATCTTAGCAAGAACGTCCATTGTTCTGTCGTCTTTATTCCATCATTCCATGCTAGGAGTTAATTTAACTCCTAGCATGGAAATGATGGATCAGCTGATTCTCAGCACACTTTTCGTCCTGACAAATATACCATTATTAACTATAGCAATACACTATTCCATATTCTGACACTGGCTGTTAAATTCAAAACCTATATTCTGATACCCTGTATTTGCTTTTTGGACAATATAGCACTCATTACCTGGCACTACTGTGTTTACAATAAATTTGGCGGCAAATTTTTCTCTTGTTCTTGGTTTTTCAGACGCTTGAATAAGAAACAAAACCAATTACGGTCAAGGTTTTTAGTTCCGGTACGTTGTTCGAGAAAAGAAATAATTTTATGGAACACAGATAAGCATGAAAAAGGTTAAACTTCTGTAGTAGCGTAAGTAAAATTTGGCACCGAAAGAAGTTGGACCCGTCCCCTCCAAAAAAAAAGGTATTGCTTGTCTTTTTTTTGGTGAGGTAATTTTTTTTTCTTTGACTGTCCCCTTTCTTTCTAAAACCACACTCCATTAATCCCCGCCAAATTGAGAAATTTAATAAAAATCGAAGCAAACTGCCTTTAATTCCCAATCTCTTTGAGAGTAAAAAAACAAAAACAATACCAATCAATGGTTTTTTTTTTAGGGAGGGGGGGGGGGGGTTTAAGGTTTTTTTCCTTCATGTTTTTCTAACATCCTTTAATTAACATTTCATCTAAGTAGCTTTTTCATGTATAGTTAAGATGGTTTTGTCTAATAGTGGAGAATCCACTAAATTATTTCGAAAAGGGAGGGGGTGTTCGGACAGAAGTTCTAGGAACCGCGCAGAATATAATACATGCCAAGAAAACCTTAGCATTCTCT